TATAATTAATTTTATTTATTTATTTTATTATTATTTTTTCTATAAAATTAATAATTTTAATAATAAAAAATAAAAATATTTTAAAAAATATACTTTTTTTGTTTTTAAACATGTTCTTATTAGTCATTTGATGTTAAACAACAACCGCTAACTATTGTATAACCAAACAGTTATATTTATCGAATCCGCTATTTACCATCCGCTACCTATTTTCTGCTATCCGACATCCGTTATTCGCTAACCGCCACCCGCTACCCACTACAGTTATCCTCTATCCGCTACCCGTTACTCGCTATCCGCTGAATTTTAACCGCTGTACCAAATAGGCCCCAAACATGATTCATGAAACATCGATTGAAACTCAAAACTCGAATTGTTGATTAGGACTGTTCCTTAGCAGGCTTATTAATTACCCACGCAATTTCTCAATCAAGTATTACCTCGTACAGATTTTTTTTTTTTTTTTTGAATAGCAAAAAGGAATGTAAGCAACTAATCATTTTAGTCAAGAACTCAAATCAAGTTGTTTTTAGCACTCATGTCCTTGATGTTGTCGAGTCGGTAAATTCATGGCCATAATTTGTCCAAACTCAAAAATCTTTGTATTTCTTTATGTGAAAGAATAACTTAATTATGTCTCTCTTCAGGATTGCTTCCTCCAAAATCAGATATTACAATACACAATTTAGGTAGAATCACAAGTTGCAGTAAGCAACAATCAATTACAAATAGGGAAAAAAAACATTTTCTTTACCAAAAGAAGCTTAAACAATATGAAACCTAATGATTTCGAGAGCTGATCACTGAATTAGAGGACATGTTGAAATTGTGCTGATGAGTGTGAGGTTTTATTGTGAGTTGAGCGAAGTTGTGTGAGGGAACAATGTCCCACGTTGAAAAGAAACAAAGTAGGCAAGTGGCTTAAATGGATGAAAGCTCATGAGTTTATGGATAAGTTTAATGGTTTGCAAATAATATAATTACAAATTTTCACGACTTTATAACTTTTAAGAAAAATATTTGTTAGGCTAACAAATACTAATATCATAAGTTTATAATAATTTAGAATAATATAATTTTTTTTATATAATTTTTTCTTTCCACTTATAAGTCTATATGTATGATTGACAAATCATTACTATAAGTTTGTAATTTTATATGACATTATAATGTGAATTTGGATTAGTAGTTTAACAAATAATTTTGATGAGATTTGCTAAATTTATTTTGATATTTGTTACCTATATGGACAAGATAAATTATAATGTAATGAGTAAAAGTATCTCTTATACTCTATTAAAAAATAAATACTCACTTTATTGATTAAAAAAATAATTTTATGTAACATTATAACTATATTTTCATATTATCACAAATCATTATTATAACGTTATAAACATTATAATTATGTTGTACTCATTCCCCGTTGTTCAAACCCTTTCAGACAAGTTTCAAATGTCGAATTTGATACCTTCAACCTAATAATAATATCCGTTGGGTATTACCGTCTATTTCAGACAAGTTTGAAATGTCGAATTTGATACCTTCAACCTAATAATAATATCCCTTGGGTATTACCGTCTATCATTAGAAGCCTCTAAACAATAGTTACGTACATGGTTCAGAAACAAAAATGTCCATTGAAGTACAAAATCTGTTACCATAGGAGGACCTGCAAATATTAAAATCTAAACGGCTCCAAGAATGCATTATGGACAAATGAAACTAGACATGACATCTACAGGCATTATAAAATGCCTTACGAAATCCCCAGATGCACAATCGGCAAGGTAAGGGCATGAATTTTAATTTCTTCCTAATTAAATCACATTAAAATAATTCAACTAACGCAAGATCATCCCTGTCATTACGTTATGCTCTCTAATTTTCTTCAATTTTTTTTTAACAAATCGCTTTCGCTGGAAAAATTAGGGAAAATATCTTAGTTACTATAAATATGGTCGGAAGTGGGTTCGGGATTCAGGGCATTTGGTGATGGGAATGAGAGGTAGTAAGCTGAGCAGACTGATTGGCGCGCAAGGGAATGAGAAGCGATCAGTCGAAGGTTCGCTGCGGCAATTGACGCCGAAAGGGTACGTTCCTGTGTGCGTAGGGGTCGATGGTGAGACGAGGCGGTTTATTGTTCACTGGACAATGCTTGCTCGCGACTCGGATTTCTTTGATCTGCTTTGTAAATCGGCTGAGGAGTATGGATTTTGTAATGATGGTGTGCTGAAGATTCCTCATGAAGCGAAGGATTTCGAGGAGAGGATCGTGAGAAGAGCCAAGCGGAAGATTCTTCGTGTCTAGTTTAGACATGGCCATGACCATGGCTATGAAATTGTATTGATTATTTGGATTTTATTTTTTAGTTTACTTAGCTATATATATAGTACCCGACACGGGTGTGGTGTTGACACATAATTTGGTGTCAACACCATATGGTAAGCATCTAGATCTAGAGTTCCTGTTTCTTGTTCTACGTAGACAGACTACATGTTGAAATTTTTAACAACTTGGAGGTGCTCTTTTATCAATATATCAGGAAGGGCTGTTTCACTCTTGTAAATTTATGTTTTTTAAGTTGGGATGTTTATAAGTTTGAGTACTCTTTATACTTCATTTTTTAATAAATGTTACTTTTTATTGTTAAAAAAATACTTAGCTATATACCGTGTAAGTTGGAATGTCTAATCTTGATTATTGGGTAGCTATTGGACACTAATTTATCCCTTGGAAGCACTTAAGATTTTAAATTAGAGATTTTAAATATAAACTTAAAATGAGTGGGGGAGAGAGTAAGTGAAAATAATGGTATTTTTTATTATATGATTTATCATCAAATGTATGTATATATATATATATAAAAGCTACTAACCATTGAATATTATATAGACTCTTCTAATTAGTTCTTGTTAATGATTTAAATATAGATTAATTTTCATGGAGCATTACCTACCGAGGTTTAATTACTAGAAGAGTTTAGTCTTGTGAATTTGTTGAATTGGAGAACCTTAGAATGGGTCTTGAAGGTTTGTATGATTTGGACCAAGTATAGGAGAAACAAGGCTTGGATTGAGTATGTACGTATATAACCATACTAATAAATACTCAAATTACCAGTCTTCATGATTCTACACTTGCATGCATCTTATATATGGAGTGATTTTGATAAAAATAGGGGCAGCAGGTATAATCACACAGTAAATTGTTAAAGTCACACAATATTACAGTTTTGTTCACTCATTTAAAAGGTATTATATAGTGTTAAATGGAGTTGAGTGGACAAAAATATAATTTAACAAAATAAAAAGTATAATCTATGTGACCTTAACAATTTACTATGTGACTATAACAGGAGCCAAATAGTGTTTACTCAGATCAGATATCATGCCTGTAACGATACATAGTCGTGCCTTACAAGTCATTCTCTTTCAACATGAGGACCATGGCGACACATTGAAGACAAACTGTGATGTGTACGGAGGGGACAATATTTTGTGGTAGGGTATGACCCAAATCCATTGATAGCAATAGCGCCATTGGTGAGGGCCATACTAGCGCATTTTGATGAATATATCATCTTGGTATATTATAGAATTAAATATAATTGTGATTTGTAAGTAATTAAAGATCAAGTCATTAATTTCTTCATTAAAAATTTTTTATAGTACATCTAATAATAATGAATTATACAAGAGAATATAGTTTTTTCCTTTTCTTAAATCCTTTTTCCTTTTTTTAAATCTTTTTTCTTTTAATTTGATTCAAAATTCAAACTTGAAATTTCTAATTCAACTTTTAATCATTGAGCTACCTTTTGAAATATTAAAAAAAAATTTAGAACAAAAGTGTGTAGGTTTTTTTTTTTTTTTTTATAATTATTTTAAATTACATAATAGGAGACAATCCCTTTTTCATCCATTAATATACTTCACTCGTATGTCATATGACTTGAACTCATAATCTTTTATTTTCATTGAAAAGAAATTATCACGAAATTATTGAAGTTATTAACAAAGTGTGAAGCCTATTAGTTGAAGCACACAATGCAAATCTTAACAATAAACGGGGGATTAATCACAACCGCCAATTATAACCCTTAAAGTAATGTTAAGACTGATGCTTGAATTCTTGAAGTTTTATATTTAAGTTCTTTTCATTGCAGGTTTAGTCTAGTAATTTAAGAGGCTCTAACATTCTTTTTATATAAAAAATTATGCATAATTGTGAAACAAGAAGATGGATTATACTAGGAGTGAAACTAATTTAAACGCACGCTCAAAGTGCTAACTCATCTCCTCCAAAAGAGAGTGACAACTAGGCCCCTAGGTAGTTGGCACTTGGCAGAGGCTCTGATTTTATTATTTCAAAGCTTCATCAATCGAGAATATAGTCAATTCTTAATTAGCGATTTGTACCATAATGTGAAAATTTTGGAAAGGGAATATAGACGTATAAAACGGGGGGCGGGAGGCACATGGTGTGTGGCAAATTGGCACACGGATTCATTACTGATCTGAATATGCTGGGCTGGAGTTTACCCAGCTGGCTTCTGGTGCTTTGGGCTATTTTGTCTGAAAAATCCAAAAAAAAAGTTGCGTAAATTATTACTGCTGCCGCAACCGCAATGATTTTGGACGACCGTTATTGAGTTTAACACTTCAATCAAATTCACAAAACTATAAGAGGTTACGAAAAAAACAAGTAGTCCTCATATAAAAGAAATCAAAGGTTTAATAATAACCACAAAATAGATAAGATATAGTATAAGATTCATTTAAATTTTATTTATTATGTAATTGAGATGATGTCTTATATTTTTAATGTCAAGATATTTTCATTTTTATTTTCATTTTCATGAAACTATAATTTTCCATTACTTCTATATATTAATTAGTGGGTGTGTTTTTTTTTTACCTAATTCCATATAATTGTAGTGTATAGATTTCTTTAGATCGTCAGGGACTCAGTGCATTTCTCGGTAAGTTTATATGCACATGCATTGAGATTAATTTATTTTTAGATAATTTTAAAGAGTGCATTTTATATCTATTTAGTATATTTAAAAAATTAAATCTATTTACCAATAATCTAAATAATTAAGTAATAATTTTTTTTTCCTTGTATGAGAAAGAATTATTTTTTAATATACAACTAAGATAAAAAAAAAATTAAATGTTTTTATGTATTGATCTTAAACCTTAAATTCTTAAGGTATAAATGGATAGTAAATAATTAATAGATGCGACGTTGGAGATTAGTACTGTTTGTAGATGATTTGTTTTAGAAATAACGGGAAAAGGGCTAATTAATTAATTTGGTATATATGTCCAAGGCTAACCACAAATATAATTTTACTCTGTTAATTTTTTAGTAGATTTAGCTTAATTTTTTTTATTTTTTAGATATAAATTTTAAATCAAAATTTAACATATTATATAAATAATAATTAAAATTTTTTAATTAAATAAAAAGATTCAATGAAAACTATATATAAGAAAATTTTTTAATTATTATTTATATAAGTTATTAAATTTTTATTTTAAATTTATAACTCAAAATAAAAAAATCAAATTAAATTTACTTTAAAAAAAAAAGTATTAGGTTTTTCATTGGGTAGTTACCTTCGAGTGCCGAGTTCAAGCTCCAAGGACACTCCCCTTCCTTCCCCATTTGCAATACCATTAAAAGCAGGAAAATTTGCTCCTCTTTGAAACAATAATAATAATAAGAAAACCCTCTTGATTTTTGATTGGACTAATTAATTAAACTCATTTTATTAGAAAAATTGTGGAGAAAAAGATTAAAAGATGTCAATTATCATTAAATTTCATGAGTCACGCATGCTTATATAAAATAAATTATATAAGAACTATAGCAGCAATGGTAGAGGTGCGCAAATTCATGGGTTATCATTGTACTAGCTCAACTTTTAATTTTTGTGTAATCATAATTTCATATTAAATATTGCGTATATCTATTGAAAAAAATGTATTTCCAGTTAAACTCAGTCTATTGGTCAAAATAACAAAAAAAAAAAAAAATTAAACACAGAGACACTTGACTATAAAATTATTTTTTTTGTTATTAGTGAGGGTCTTTTCCCTTTCTTTTGTCCCACATTTATTTATTTATTTATTTTATATATTAAAATAAATTATTCGTGTGATATTAAATTTTTTAATATATTAAAATAAATGATCCAATGTAAGTAAAGGGAATGGAAAAGACGTTTTCTCCCACCTTCATTGGTGTGAATGTGGTATTTGTAGTACAAATTAACATATTTTAACATTTACGCAAAAAATCTCTTGGTAAAAGAAAATTTAACATTAAAAAAATGAGAAAAAACTCACCACAAAAATGGAAAATAAAGGAGAAAGATAATCAACACAAATGGAATTAACTCCAATTCCAATTCTGAAGCAAATGGAATTAACCCATTTTCCATTTCGAAATCTCAATATCCATATATATTTGGAGAAAAAGAAAGATATCCTAATCAAAGGTCTCGAACATCACTCACATTCACATATGCCATCATAAAAATCAAAACCGTTAATTCTCACTTTCCCAAAAATGACACGCAAAAACAATTTTTCCCTTAGAACATTTAATTAATCCACTAATTAACCTTTATACACAATTGATTCCTGGAAATTTCGCCCCGCTCGTTAATTAGCAAGTGTAGAAGTCAACCAGCTCCTCCATGGATCCCAACTGAGCACCATCATTCTCCAGCATCCACAGCAGGTGCTCGAACAACACCACCTCGCACGAAACCACCACTTCACCATCACTGCAGGACCGATCCACCAGCTCTTGGAACAGAGGGTGGCAGATGACATCAGACCCCACAAGGTATCTCCGCCGTGACTTCCCTACATAAACTGCATGCAGCACTTCCTTCGGCTCAGAGTCTGCGGCAGCGATGGCGGCTGTACTAGTGCTCCGGCTGAGCTTAGTGAAGGACGGCCACCTTTTTATGGCTGACTTCAGCTTCGTCAGCTTCCCAACTTTGGCCATTAAATTTTTATGGAACTTTTAGTATGTAATGGGGGAAGTAGAAGTATTAATACAGGGAGCTATGGAAAGAAACGGAAGAAAGGTTGTTGTTATATAGATAGAGGAATTTAGGGGCAGTGCAAGCAGGATACAAGTACATGGCCCACTGTTTGATGTATACCAGCTAAGAATGAGATATTTGGACTGCAAAAACCGGTTGCTCCTTGTTTGGCCTTTTTGGTAGGGTACTCTTTGGTTGGAAACACGATTTATGTGTTTTTACATAAATACCCTTCATTTCATTTTTTATTTTAAAACATTTTAACAATGATACATTATTATATAATTTAATATAATTTAAGTTATAAAATTGTAAATATTAAAAAGAAAGGCATTGTGCACTTTGATATTGTGGTTTGATGATTATAAATCATGTTGAAAGTACAACTCCCAACTTAAGAATTGAGTTTCGAATTTTTTCACTTTCAATATAATTCATTAAAAAAAAATAAAAAAGGGCATCGTGAGAAATATTTAGTTTTTCTCCTCAAATGATTAATTTTTTATAGTCTAACTCATGTTGGATTGCAAAAGAAGCCTTCCCAAGAAATATTTTGTTGGCCATGTTTTGGTATCTTATCACCGTACCGTGCTGAAATTTCATGGGGAAATTTCTCATATGATTAGATTAAGGACATGGACTAGACGTGTATTTGATCTTGTATGTTGCAATAGCATGTGCATCCCACGTGAATGAATCCGACCTCGCGTGGTAAG